AGATGACTCGAATGCTCCATAAGTAAGTTCAATCGATCATTCTCGCACCATATCTGCAACTTTGTTCGTTTCCTGATATCAAGTAATTATTTTCTTTGTCTAGCAGGGTTTGAAAAGAGTTCGCCGCAATTTCTCCGGGATTGCCGACCGAGCTGCGATTTTTAAACACCCGAGTGTAAGTACTACTACCTAGTTTCGCGCATCTCCCATTGATTCTAGCTAGTTTCATCAATACCATTTATCATGCTTGTTTATCAGTTTGATTGACCTCTATTTCCTGTAAAGTGCTTGTGGCAAGAAGCCGATCATGATTTCTGTGGATACTACATTTGTGAGTTCATCTACAACGCGACGACCTCTAATAAGCGGGGCTACTCTAAAAAACAATATGAAGTGCGTAAGCAAAAATATTCACAATTTTATTTTATTATCATCATTTGTGTTGAGTTTCATTCATACACATGTATTGACCCTCTTCTTCAATTTAGATCTGGCAGATGCAGGATGAACTCCTACCACAAGATCGCATACGAGCAATTCAAGAGGAATTGGCGGGATTCTTATTGACCACGTCATCAATCCGGCCGGAGAATACCATGTGGAAATTGACTACAGATGTTAGGGATTGTAAGAGATCTTATATTGTATATATGTAGCTAGTAGCGTTAGATAGATATATGAAAAGTTGTTGTTCGACCAATCTTTCAAAGAAGGAGAGGTCGGTCACTTCTCACTGTATATGTTCATGATGATCTTGTGTACTTAATGGTTCATTCATTTTCTTACTAGCTAGTGTGTCGAGTTCGTAAGCGAACCACCTGGAGCACCATCTGTTTGGACTCGCCGCAGCGGCCACGTGGAGCACCATCTGTCCCGGTTCATAAGCGAACCAGGACTAAAGGTGATGGGCTTTAGTCCCGACCCTTTAGTCCCGGTTCCAGAACCGGGACAAATGGGCCTCTAAAACCAGGACAAATGGGCCTTTTTCTACTAGTGTAGCACCTGGTCCGCTCTTTCATCAGTGCCAAAGTGGTAAGATTCTTGTCGTAGGCTACCCGGTGCCAACATGAACGTGTACAATTCATTGAAGATGCTTGTCTGGTGGGAAATATGGAATGTGAGAGTATTTCACAACAAGGGGCCTCCTTGCCCAGCAAGTGGTTGCGTCAATCAAAGCAAAAGCAAGGCTCTGGGTGTTTGCCGGGGCAAAATATTTGGGTAATTTAATACCGGGAGAGTGATCTCTTTGTTTTTTGACCTTTTTGGTCATGTAACCACCAAATTCTATTCTTCTCTTCTTAATTAATGAGATGAGGTAAATCTAGTGCCTCCGTTTGAAAAAAATCTACAAAAGAACTCGATCTGAACTCGATCAGGTTTTCACACTACCAAAAGGTGCATGATCCACAAAGAGGAGTCTCTTGGAGAGAAGAAATAAAATTGTTCACAAAGGAAGAAAATTAAATGCATCTGCTTCTTAAAGAGAAATCCAGCTAAGGATTACAAAGCAGGGTTTGTATTGTTGGAAGCATCACATCCCTATGATGGTATCAAACATACAATTATAATGCATCATTAATAGTGTTAGAAGCATATATACATGATTTGTTTCAGAGGACACAATGGCAGGCATCAAAGCCACCAGTTTTCACATTACGAAATAGAAATTTCAGCGATAAAGAAGTAATCATTGGTAGCATTGCAGAGTGAAAGCAAAACATAAATACTTCCTCCATCCGCAGGCTAAATTTATTAGTGTTGATAATAAAAATGTTGATACTTTCTCGTCTCCCCTCTCACTCGCACGTAATCCGATATCCAATGCATGCAAGTTCTGTTCATTAGATGTATGCCATCACGAGCGAAAGGGGCATACGACAAACTCACACATCAATTATGGCCATTTTCAAACGTTATTTTGCAGGAGAAACACACTTGATTGCCAAGCGTCATAATTCAACAATTCGCATGATGCACCCGCTCTGCCTCGGTTGCGATGCACTAACGGTAATGACCAACAACCCCGGATTGGCGGAAGTGGCACATATGCATGGATATTAACTACCAATAGGCCACATCCATCACCAAAGGCACAGATTCAACGAGTCTAATCTTTCAGCAAATAAGGAAGCCAATGATGTCCCAATAGAGTGATATATACTCTGCCCCCCCTCCGGCATCGCTCCTCCCATAGAGGACACGAGTGGAAACCGTATAACAGTATAACAAGCCATTGCAGATGTGCTTACTGAAAAAAGCTTTCGCCCTGCTTTATATATAAAGCACCGATCGATCACACCTCAGATACAAACGCACTCCACCACAACACACGCACACGCCCAAGGTAGGATACAAAGGCGCTGAGCGCATCAACACTACCCCTAGTACTACAAGAGCAACCTGAGTCCTCAACCGTGAGCATGCCACCGCGAGAGGTGAAGCCACTTATGATGAACCGTGTGCTCCAAGGCGGCGCCTTCAGGAAGGTTACGACACTAGAGCGCCGCCACCGCCCGACCCGAGGATCGGTGTTTCCCCTGGAAGAACAAGACGGGCAATGAGAGCCGCGACGACGCCTTCAAGAAGGGAACAAGCTTTGTCGCCGCCGGTCCGTCCGAAGATAGATCAGGTTTTCACCCCGGCCAACACTCACCACCACCGGACGCCACACCCTAGCGACTATGCCATCCACACGACCATGGCCATCGGGCAGCACCTGACCACAGGCTCCGCCCATGAGAACCGGGGAACCACCACCAGGGCCGCCGCCCCGGCATCCCAGACCTTGACACCACCTCGCTCGAGACCCACCGCTACCCCAACCAAAGATACGGGCGGAAAGGGCCCGCCTTTCCCCTGGGCTGCCCCCAATGCCGAAACCCAATAGGTCGGCCAAAACTGGCCTCCATCGACCCATCCCGGGCACCGGGCGCGAGACGAGCTCGGTCCTGCCGCCGGGCGCGAGACAAGCACGGTCCTGCTGCCTGGCAGATGTGCTTTCCGCCCAAAAAACTACTTGATGGAAAACTGATCGTGGCCTGGATAAATGGTATGCCATGTTCTGCAGCTTGCCCATGGAACAGTCCCTTGCATATGTGATGCCCGTCCAAAGGAACTTTTTCATGCATGCATGGAGCGCAGATCATGGTGAGGATGAATGCTGTGCCATAGTCTACAGCTTGCCTGTCTGCCTGCACGCGGCTGTGCTACACTAAGATGTCTTCATAAAAGCAAGTTCGAATAAGCATGCATGCTACTAATCAAGATCAGAGAAATACTAGAAAATGTCAATAAAGGAACTCTAACCCCGATTTAGCATATCAGAAACCAAGAACCCAATGGTTTAAGAAATTACCCAACAATACCTCAAATTTATTGTTAGATTGTGTTTGCCGTGTAGGTGCAATAGTATTTCAGTTATAGCAAAACATTTCTGTCTCAGGCCTATTCATTGTTGGAGCCTGATAAAAAGTCATTGATCCCATCCAATCCTATGTTCGTTACTCTAATAAAGCAACATTTCTTGTGTAGATTGACCAGTATTTGGATGTGTTTACAAACTGGGGGTATATGAATATGACGGTCTTTGCCCCTTTTCAGTTTGTACATAATTTTAGTTTTCTTTTTCTCTTGAACGAAAATTTCATCAAATGGTTGTATTTGCCTACCCAGCTTATAACAAAGTTCAACTTTAATTTTGTCAATTTGTTTGATAAGCATCGTAGTCCAAGAGCTATTGTTTTGTTTCGAAAATGAGCAAGAAAGGTCTAATAATAACTAGGTGAACCACATCCAAATATGTAGATGTGAAAGCATTTTCAATTGATTAGCACAACTACACAGCCATGTGATTTATACGTAATGATTTATTCTGCATCCTAGAACACTATGCACTATCTTCTCCTTTATATGTGTATTGACATGTACTCCTTGTTTTGTGAAGAAAAAAACTTGTTTGCAATGAAATAACCGCATGTTATCCTTTTTTACCACTTAACATATTTGTTCCTCTATGTGATGACTCATCATATAATTAGTACAGATTCAATAGTAACGCGCCCCCATTTACACAGTGTGTTTTTTTCCGAAAAGGAGGATTGCCCCCATTCACACAGTGGTGTTAATACATAATCTTCATAGAGTAAATAATAGTACACAGAGCGCCTCATAGGCGCAATTCATGTTATGCAGCTTATGCTAATATTATTCCCACTACCATCGACGAGTCAATATTTCACAATCGTTCAGCAAATTTTAGCTATATGATATAAGATTTATAAACATATATCCTTCGCTTGAATTATCTTTTACCAGTTAACACTCAATTATTGAATTAAATTGTTCGATACCTTGAAAGTTACTGAAAGACCTCATCTAGCTAGGAATTTGACTATTGGTTAGAGTTTAATGATATCACTGCAAAGTGCTCAAAGTCATGTTTGCATTTTTTGATAGTTTCTAGAAGATTGGTTGGTCCTTTTTAGAAAAATCTAGAAGACAACCACTTTATCTTTTTCAGAAAGAAAAATAAATCAACAGTCATTTAAAAGCACTAGTGTCAGATATGTGCAATCATTTCTTTCCCAAGGCCGGTTTGTGCATTACATGACTCTTTATGTTCCATGGTACCCAAGCATGGATCTCCAAGGTTTAATATTTTTTTTCATCTGTAGGAAAAGAAGTGCAAAGGCATTCTTGTGGATTTCACCTCTAGCCTACCCCAACTTGTTTGGGATTAAAAGCTTTGTTGTTGTTGAGGAAAACAAGTGAAAAGTACATTATGGTTATATGAATTCGCTAAAATTGCCTATGCCGAGTGTTTACATGGTGGATTTCACTATCATTGAAAGTGAGACTTCGGTTGACAAAGCATTCTAAATACTAATTGCCCAAATATGAATTGCCCAATCACACATCCATCATAAATTCTTTTATTCGCTAATATGAAAAGCTCATGAGTAACCAATACAACACACATCCATATGTGCATTAAATCAAAATCACAGGCTTATACTATAATATGTCCCAGGATTTGCGTCCACCTTGAGTACGAAATTAATTTCAGCCCCATCTGAAGCCTTGCTCTCTAGGAGAAGCTTCTGACGCTGTTTTGCCAAGAACTCCTCATCGTTGCTCTTGACTAAAACCGTCATCGACTCTAGAGCTCTAGCATTCAGTACGAAAAAGGTTACAAAATCAATGTCAGATTTTTTGGCCCGATAATAATCCAAAACTATTTTTTTTAGACGGATGACAAAAGAACTGAGAAGGTCCCGGTGTTTACGACGCCACAAATTCTTCGTCCCAGATTTCTCGCACTGAAAAGAACATTGACAAACCAAATATATAACAACTTCAGAATAACAAGTAGATCAATAAAGCAATCAAACAAAATGTACTACCGGTGAAACAATGATCACCTGAATGTACAACTTCTCCATGCACGGAAAACATCTCATCATTTCAATAACCATGTCCAAACATAGAGTACGCATACAGAGATGCAAAGACTTGATTCTGCACAGTGCTGTTGAAAGGCTACCAATTTCAATGCGCGGTCCCTTCAGAAAAGCATGAAATCCAACATTAGACAATAATATACGTAGGTTTGCAGAGCATATGTAATTTCTGTATGCACTGAAATGCAAGTTATATAAAAGGCTGAAGATGGTAAAAATGAAGAAGATCAGTTACCTGATGAATATCTGTGGAACCAAACACGAGCCTGGTGGAGTTAGTACAACAACCTAGGGTCTCCAACTTAGGCGCCGAGAGCACTGATACATGCAAATCCTCGTTCTGATCAAGATGGAATAATCTTTCAAGATGAGGGGCACTCTCGATGATCAGCTCCTCCATGGATGGATCTGGGGAAGAATTGCCGACTTCAATGCTTCTAAGGGTAAATGAATTGATCCGGAGGCAACGGGCTCCACTGCACCCAGTAATTAACAAGACCTCGAGAGAAGGGCTGCCGGCAATCATGCTGCTGAGTGAGAACTCCGAGAGGAAGACATAATCAAGACCGAGCTTCTTAAGCTGCGGGAAGTGAAGCCCTTGAATGATGTCGTCCGTGAGTGTGCAATGTCCGAATTGGGCGACACAGAGGGTGTGCGAAAAACGGAAGATAGATGTTGGTGCCGGCACCCGCTGCCAATTGTGCCACGGCCGACGGTAGAACTCAAGCTCCTTGAGTTTATTCAGAGCGGGGGACAGGAGACAGGCGTCCACGGCAGCATCGTTCTCCATGTTCGTGGCCAAGAATGGGCGAATGCAGAAGCGGTGGCAGTCGCCTTGGTGGGAGGAAATTATGCGTTGTAACACATCACCGAGCTTACCATGATTAGAACGGGCGATTTCATCGCAGTCGATGTTGAGAGGAAGAGAGCGCCAGAGGGGAAGCCAACGTTTAGCGAGGATCTGCGTGCGACCGCGTTGCTTCATGGGGAGGACCGAAATAATCTTCCGGAGCACGTCGTCGGGGAGGTCGCTGAGGTGGAGATCTCGCCCGCCGCCACCTCCATCGTGGTCAGCCGCTCCGGGATCGGGCACTGCCGCTGGCGCCGGCGCCGGAGCCGGACTGCCCTCGCCCTCGAGTGCGGCTGACTTCCTCTTCCTGCTGGTAGTCTCACTCCTACTACTACTACCGCCGGCCTCCATCTCCTTTGCCAGAGACGGCTGCTAGTCCGGGGGTGAGGAGAATTAGGTTTGGGAGTTTGGTGGTGGAGGTCAGGATCGGAGCAGGACGAGGGAAGCTTCTGAGGATGACAGCCGAACCCTACTATCCGATGTCAGTAAATGGTAAGCTGGCGTGAGCAAGTAGAAACTGCCCGCGGTGTGACATGTGGGCATGGGAGCAAACCTGCACTGGGCGGCCCCAGGTCAGTAGCGTCCCCCTTTTTTCTTCTGCAAATTTGGAATTTCATCAACGGTGCCAAAACCCCGCTGCTCACAGGCTAGCGTGGACGCATGCTTCCAACAAAAAGGATATCCGTCCAGCTGCAGCTTTAATTTGTTGCAAAAGAGAAGGGCGTCAAAGCTAGCGACAGCCAGGAGACGGTGGATCGCCGGGACGGCTGTGAGTCGGGAATGAGGGACCAATATATTTCAGTGTTCTGACATTTTATGGAATTCCGTGTTTCTTCAGTCGGTAACAACGATCGAGGGATTAATACATTACACTGTTCTGACAGTTTTGACAGTGGCGCTTCTATGAGAAGGTTCATGAGAAGGGCATGGCTTCCTCCACCGATGCTTCTTTTCGATTTCATGTCCACCGTTGCTTCCTCCAACCTTCCTCTCTATTTTTCATTGCTCCCCAACAATCCAGTCCTCCATCAAACCAAAATTTTAGATGAAGACCATCAACCTAAGTGAAGATCCATATAGCCAAGAACCCGGCCGGGCCGGGGGTATATTCACTTAATTAATTAATAACTATAAGACAGGGGTAATATAACCTCGCAAATTTGAACAATAGGGGGTACCCTGTCCATCCCAGCTACCCTGCTACGTGCTCGTTTTCCGCCTTGGAGTCGGCTCCGCTTGGCCACCTCGCTAAGGTGGCGGCGGACTTGGCCATAGTGTTATGGGGAGAGATTCCTCCCCCCCTCCCGCTAGTTCAGATTCAGGATATTCGCGCGAGGGAAATCCTCGATGGGCGCCTTGCCGAGGCCCGTGCACGCCTTCCGACCTCCTCGGGCGCCCCTTTCGGGGCTGCCCCGAGCGTCCAGCAGCGTGCGGCCGCCGATCCTATGGAGATCCGGGGCCATACCCGCTCCCGCACCGCAGCCCTCCGCGCGTAGAGCGCATCACGAGTCTTGGGGTCAAGCAGCCCCCCGATGGATTCGTGATGCGGACCCTCTTCTGGAACATCTGCGACTTCGTCCAAGATGGCTGACACCGCCAACTCATAGAGTACATGCGGACCGAGTGAATTGACATAGTGGCGATCCAAGAAACGATGCGTACGAAATTTTTCCTATCGGAGCTCGAGCATTTGAGCTCCGACCTTTTTGCTTGGCACTGGCTCCCTTCTAGTGGGAGTACGGTCCACTCAGGTGGCATCCTTCTAGGGGTGAAGGATGCGACCTTTGAGGTTGGAAGCATGGACCAGGGCAAGTTCTTCGTTAGCATGGAGATCTTCGAGCGGGGCCTAAACTTCAAATGGGAGATTATTGCGGTTTATGGCCCAGCCGATCACCGCCATTCTGAGGCCTTCCCCGCTGAACTCCATAGGAAGGTGGCAGCCGCCCAGCTACCGGTAGTGGTGGGCGGCGACTTCAACCTCATCCGGACAGAGGAAGACAAGAGCAATAATTTGGTCAACTTTCCCCGGATGTAGATGTTCAATGACTGCATCGCGGATATGGGGCATCGTGAGCTCGGTAGAGTCGGGCCAGGTTCACTTGGACCAACCACCAAGTGGAGCCGACCCGCTCAGTCCTAGACAGGGTCTTTGCCTCTCCTGAGTGGGACATTCGTTGCCCCCTAGCATCGCTCCGTGCGATTACGCGGATTGATTCCGATCACGTCCCCCTCCTCCTCTCTTCGGAGAACGGGTATCCCCCCTGCCGCCTCGCTTCCGCTACGAAACCTTCTGGTTGCGCCAGCCTGGATTTGCCGCAGCGGTGGTCGCCCGGTGGCGCAAGGCGCGTGATGCCCCCCATCGTTCCCTCTCGGCCATCGACTCCTGGCACTTCTGTGCGAAGCGGTCACTGCAATACATGAAAGGATGGGGTGCAAACGTGGGTCAGCTGTGTCTCGCCTATGGACAACATGGCCCTTATGGCCCCATTCTACGAGGCTGAAGTGTGGGCAGCTATTAAGGGCATGAACCCCTCTTCGGCCCTCGGTCCGGATAGCCTCCCAGTGAAGTTCTTGCTGACCTTCTAGGACGTAATCAAGCTAGAGGTGATGGCCCTATTTGAGGAGTTCTTTGTAGGGTCCATCAACCTCACCAGGCTGAACTTGGGGATAATCACCCTCATCCCCGAAGTGACTGGGCTTCGGATATCCGCCAATTCTGACCGATTACGGTGATTAATGTCATCTTCTGCATCCTCGCGAAGGGGTATGATACGTCTCCATCGTATCTACTTTTTCAAACACTTTTGGCCTTGTTTTGGACTCTAAGTAGTATGATTTGAATGGAACTAACCCGGACTGACGCTGTTTTCAGCAGAATTGCCATGGTGTTGTTTTATGTGCAGAAAACAAATATTCTCGGAATGACCTGAAACTCCACGGAACATCTTAGAAAAAACATAAAAAATCCTCGCCAAAGATGAAGACCAGGGGGCCCACACCCTTCTCACGAGGGTGGGGGCGCCCCCCCTAGGGCGCGCCCCCTACCTCGTGGCCCCCCTGGAAACCCTCCGACGCCAACTCCAACTCTATATATTTGCTTTCGGAGAGAAAAAATCACAGAGAAGAAATCATCACGTTTTACGATACAGAGCCGCCGCCAAGCCCTAAAACCTCTTGGGAGGGCTGATCTGGAGTCTGTTCGGGGCTCCGGAGAGGGGGATTCATCGCAGTCGTCATCATCAACCATCCTCCATCACCAATTTCATGATGCTCACCGCCGTGCGTGAGTAATTCCGTCGTAGGCTTGCTGGACAGTGATGGGTTGGATGAGATTTATCATGTAGTCGAGTTAGTTTTGTTAGGGTTTGTTCCCTAGTATCCATTATGTTGTGAGATTGATGTTGCTATAACTTTGCTATGCTTAATGCTTGTCACTAGGGCCCGAGTGCCATGATTTCAGATCTGAACCTATTATGTTTTCATGAATATATGTGAGTTCTTGATCCTATCTTGCAAGTCTATAGTCACCTACTATGTGTTATGATCCGGCAACCCCGAAGTGACAATAATTGGGACCACTCCTGGTGATGACTATAGTTTGAGGAGTTCATGTATTCACTATGTGCTAATGCTTTGTTCCGGTTCTCTATTAAAAGGAGGCCTTAATATCCCATAATTTCCAATAGGACCCCGCTGCCACGGGAGGGTAGGACAAAAGATGTCATGCAAGTTCTTTTCCATAAGCACGTATGACTATATACGGAATACATGCCTACATTACATTGATGAATTGGAGCTAGTTCTGTGTCACCCTATGTTATGACTGTTACATGATGAATCGCATCCGGCATAATTATCCATCACTGATCCAGTGCATATGAGTTTTCCATATACTGGTTTACGCTTATTTACTTTTCCGCTGCTACTGTTACAATCACTACAAAATACCAAAAACATTACTTTTGCTGTCTTTACTTTTATTGCTGCTACCGCAACTATCATATTACTTTGCTACTAAACGCTTTGCTGCAGATACTAAGTTTCCAGGTGTGGTTGAATTGACAACTCAGCTGCTAATACTTGAGAATATTCTTTGGCTCCCCTTGTGTCGAATCAATAAATTTGGGTGAATACTCTACCCTCGAAAGCTGTTGCGATCCCCTATACTTGTGGGTTACTAGGGTACTGTCGGTGTCAAAACCGGCGGATCTCGGGTAGGGGGTCCTGAACTGTGCGTCTAGGCGGATGGTAACAGGAGGCAGGGGACACGATGTTTACCCCAGTTCAGGCCCTGTTGATGGAGGTAAAACCCTACGTCCTCCTTAATTGTTCTTGATGATATGAGTATTACAAGAGTTGATCTACCACGAGATCAGAGAGGCTAAACCCTAGAAGCTAGCCTATGGTATGATTGTATGTTGTCCTACGGACTAAAACCCTCCGGTTTATATAGACATCGGAGGGGGCTAGGGTTACACAGAGTCGGTTACAAGGAAGGAGATCTACATATCCGTATTACCAAGCTTTCCTTCCACGCCAAGGAGAGCTCCATCTGGACATGGGACGAAGTCTTCAATCTTGTATCTTCATAGTCCAACAGTCCGGCCAAAGGATATAGTCCGGCTATCCGGATACCCCCTAATCCAGGACTCCCTCAGTAGCCCTTGAATCAGGCTTCAATGACGATGAGTCCGGCGCGCAGATTGTTTTCGGCATTGCAAGGCGGGTTCCTCCTCCGAATATTTCATAGAATATTTTGAACACGAGGATCGTGTCCGGCTCTGCAAAACAAGTTCCACATACCACCGTAGAGAGAATAATATTTCCACAAATCTAATCTGCTGACGTACCCCGTAGCGTGACATCACACCACAGCCATGTCTTTATTCGAATCGCTTTTCATATCCTGTCTCAGTGTGTTTCGCGAGGCGGTTTCCTTGTCATGTCTTGTCGAAGCAGATATCGTGTCCCCTTATTACGGGATTCCCATCAATACGGACGTGGGTAACCCAACCGCGCCATAAATTACGGCACTTGGGGGATAGGCGAGTTTTACCAGGCTGGTGGGGGCGCATAGTTTCATCCGCCCTTATAAAGGGATAAGGTTTCACCTTTTTCTACCCACGCCTTCTCCTCCTTGCTCATCCATTCTCGCGCACTCGAGCTCCCCTGCCCAAGTCCACATCCTTCTCCTCAACTCTCTCCAAACATGTCTGGAGCAGCAGGCAAGTGGATGGTCTCCTCCGTCATGGAGGGACACATCAAAAAACTACGTGGGGCCGGATACTTAGCCGTAGATATCGCGCACCGGCTGCCAGCCGTGGGGCAGATCGTCCCTACCCCGGAACCTC